TGAAAAGTTGTATAACAATCATTCCATTTCTATTCAAAGACATGATATAAAGCACCGGACCAGACTCACAAAGTTTGGAGCTTATCTCTCAACTTTGTTATTTTTTTTTTCTCTACTCGTAATTTTCTATTTGAATTTGGGAACAAGTTTTTTCTATATCTCATTCTTGCCAGTTTTTTATTTCTCATATCAAGATAATTTCAAATATTTTTATTTTTAGTTGATAAAATCATTCAAGAAATGCAATGCCAATGCCATGAACACTCAATTGAGAATATAATAAGTCATTCACAACGTGCCTATAATTTTATAACAATACGAAATGAAAACAATAATAACAAACTCTCGACATGTTCTATATTAATCATAATAAATTTCGATACTGGTGCGAAAGCAAATAATTTATAATTCAAGTAATAGTTGAGAATGTTTCGATTCAAAATATCTTAGTCAGTATATATATGACCTTTCAAATATTGAAAATACTCTTAAACATTGGTATCGTTTACCATTTTTTGTCATTCCTCCTGAAATGAATTATACGCAAATATGATATTATTATGTTATGGAAATATGATATGAAATGAATTAATTGAGCTCAAGAATAATGATGTGTATGTAAACTCTCAATGAAGAGATTGTTACTTGGTTTCAAGTGGAAACCGTTCCCGTACAGAATAATCATCACCCTATTCAGCATATCTCGTGGTCCTAGCCAAACCACATCCAGAGAAGTAGCTGTTTGGTTGATATTCTAAAAAGTACGAAGTGTTATAGTTGGAATTATGCACTATAACAGTAAATAGGAGGGAATCCTGGAAGATGTGCCACACTAAGGCATGAAGGATTAACCTTACTGAAGATATTTTGTCCTCGAATTGATAGGACATGAAATGATGATTTAATGTGGAATAATATGAGCTCGTATATTATGAAGATGATTATAATGATATTTACCCCCGGGGATGATTTTTCCGAAAATGGAAAATATTTGCGAGTTGTTAGACAAAGAAATGTACGGTCTAGTTCTAACAAAAAAAAAATTGGAGGAATGAGCATGCGGTATTTAAGGAGTATTTTCAATCAGTTCAATAATGTATAAGTGATGAAATATCACAAATTTTATTATTATAAACTATCTACTACTTGAATTCATCGAAACAACGAGAATAGGGGAATTGATTTTTTTTTAAATTGAATAAAACGCCAATATATTTGTGAAACCGGTTACACCAAAGATAAATAAATAAATAAATCGAATAAAGTTCTGATAATATTTCATATTAAACAAAAAATAATCTCAAGGTACCTTGAGTCAAAATATTGCTCAAAGTACATGAAAGTACCAATTCTCGGACGGTTCATCAGTTTATTCAAGCTGCCAACAATGAGTTGTCAGATGAATATCCTTTTAAATCTTACGGTTTGGACCTGGAATGTCAAAAATGATCAATATGTAAGTATGAAATAACATGGTGACATTTTCGATAATATATTTATCAAATAGGTAATTTTTTTTATGAAATTTTTCAACGAGAAGGCACGTTGGTTTGTTCACATGACTCTAATTATTTTTTACCATAATTTCAATTTATCTGTTTACGAAAATGATTTTCAATTGGCAATATTGGCATCAATTCACTTTAATCTCGATCTCGAGATATATTACTCATTACAGAAAATGCATTCGAATTCATTGACTCATTGGATGGAATGGGAACCAATCGGGAAATTTTTCATAATTTGGAACAAATATAAATATTTAAGTAGATATGTAGATAACTCATAATTTTTCTTGTGTCGTCATTCATTCAATCAACTATTTCTTTTTTTTTTTAATTAAGAAACTATATTTGCAATACATTTTTTTTTTCGAAATGGAGACGACGTTCAAATTTCCCTGAAATGAATGATAACTTTTGCTTATTAGTGAAAACAAACTCTTTATTATGATGATAATATAATCATGAACTTGACACTTCGTTCACGTTACTTTGTTCTAGTTAGTATAATATTGTTTATTTTAATCATAGGTTTAATGATGAATCATGCTTTGGGAAACTCGAGAAAGCGTGTTGATATGTTTTTAATACAAAATGGGATAATGATTATTTTGAGGAATTGAATGAAAATGAGTTTTCCCAATAACATTTATAATTGATAAGTAATAATTAACTCTAGATCTAAAGTCTAAAAATTTGGAATCATCAGGACATAATGGTATACTAAAACAAATAATATAGGAATTTAATGAATTGAATGAGGTATTTAGCATATCGAGGCACATAGGTTAATCATTTATTGCTCATCTTCAATTTTGTACATTCAACTTTTTCGATCTATTATGTGATAGTAATATATAGGGTTATACAGAATTCCCCATTTTAATATAAATAGTAAAGTAGGTATTTGACAATCAATTGTTTTTTTGCATGGTTTCACGGCTTCACACAAAACAATGCACGCACACTGAGCACTGGCATACAACATTTATCAAGAAGTCAGACACCCAGGGAGATGCAGCAAGATGACCAAACGAGGACTGTATACAGCATGATTCGATGGTAGCTGCTGGGTAGCCCAGGAACGAAGAGGAAAAACGTAGGAATGCCAGGAGTTGCCACGAGTTGTGGATAGCCTGACGAACCACTGGAATGACGGAAATTCATCGTTCCTTTCATGGACCAAGTCATCTACCAGGTATCACAACAACTACCAAGATAGCTGGCAATTCTTCTCACTCAGCTGCCAACTACCCTCAAGAGACAGGCCAATACTAGAAGCCAGGATATCTTGAAGCCCGAAGGATTCCTACTTCAGAGTATCAGCCCAGAACGAGAGAAGCCCAATAATCTTTGGAGTTCAAAAAGATTCCAGCACCCTTATGCCCAGGACGAGGATACCTTTCGAGCCCAAAAAGGATCCCGCCAAAATTCCCACGACAATTGAAGGATGCCCATCAGTCGTCATTCGCTACCCCAAGAACCCAGCAGTTCCCTTCGTTCAGCTGCCAACTACCTCGAATGACAGTCTTAGAAATCTTAAAGCCCAAAAGATTTCATCCCGATGCCCAGGACAAGGATACCTTCGAGCCCAAAAGGATCCTGCCGAAATTCCCATGACGATTGGAGGATGCCATGCCCAATCGTCATTCCCTACCCCCAAGCTGCCAGGAGTCTCACCGAGAAGAGTCTGATTGAAATGCTTTTGTTGAATAGCCAGTGCCGGACTTAGTAAAGGTGTGAGTGTGCATTGTAGACACTAAACTATGAATGTTTGTGAATATTTTTTTTTCTGAAACTCTTTGTACACTATGCAAATCAACTTTGAATGTTCTCCTCGATATATTTAGGTAGGTAGTAATTTAAAAACTGGGGTCCAGTTTTCTCGGAGAGAGGGGTCATGTCACGAGTAGAACATACGGTATATCAGTAATTTCTAACCATGAGGGTTTTATAAACATAAAGTAAATCAAATCATCCGTTGACATTGAATTATAAAAACTGACCAAGGAACTCTCATGAGAAACGTGCATTTCTAATAAAATGATGTATATAAATATTGGATCTGAGGGTTCCGAAGTTAGTCTGGTCTGGGGCTACTCTTGACTTGACAAGAGCTCGTCGTAATGGTCGTTATAATGTAAGTTGTCATTAGGTCTTTATATTCATTGTTGATTACTCATATTTATAATCACTTCACCCATAATGTTTCATGCTATAATATATATTGTTATGTTTGAATGTAGTCTCGTACTTTCAGTTACCCCAAAACTATTAGTGCCTATTTGAATATTACCTCTCGCAGACTATTAAGCCAAGCATTACCACTTTTAACCAATCAACTATTTTGTTGTGACATTATGTTTCTCTAAAATCGAACCCGTAACATGTATATTGATTTTTCGATAACTCCCTTAGTTATTGAGATAGCCCGTGAAAACGCCCAATTTTGCCCACCGTGTACAATAGACAGTACAGTGTGTCCAGTTTTCGATGCTTTTTTATACTTTTTGAACCCCCTACAAAGTTTTTCAGCGAGAATGTCAAATCGAGATCTGATCAAATAGAGATATTTACTCAGATGCCAGCGGCGCACTCAAAGTTTTTTTTCGGGGTATAGTTTTGGAGATACGACTCAAATTTATGATTCTTTAAATGGAACACCCTATATTTCATAAGTTCATTAAATGAAGAACTTCGTGCAACAACAGAGGCATTTTTCCAGGAATTACAAAGACATTCCTTAATGATATGGACATCAACTTGAACAATTCAATGAATAAGTTACTGAATGATTTGGAAATTCAATTGTTTTAGTAAATATTCAATCATTCATTCAGGTGCTTATTCTACATTATGATTTTTTCAATACTATTTATTTGTTTTGTTGCTATCTGGTACCTGAGTTTTATGTTTTGTTAGTTAATCAATGTTGGTATTATTTTTGTACTCATCATTCATGGGAAAATGAAAGAAAATATTCCTTCAATTAAAACATGTTTTATATGAAAAATCCATAGCCCACTATTAAAATTCAATGTTCTAGTGATTTTGGAGCATTTTTGAAGATTTTATATGAATACATTATATATCATTTTGAAGGAAAAAAAAAGGCATTCAATGAGCTTTTTGAAGATTTTATATGAATACATTATATATCATTTTGAAGGAAAAAAAAAGGCATTCAATGAGCTAATAAAATACACGGAGTTCCTTAAAAAATCATGAGTTTGAGTCGTATCTCCAAAACGATTCCCCGAAAGAAAAAACGAGTGAGCCATTGGATTCTGCGTAAAATTTTCATCTTGAGTTTCACAAAAAAGTGGCACAGGACCGCGAAAACCGCAAGGTTCTATTTCCAAAGATAACAGACATCAGGCGAAAGCATGGAAAACTGGACACACTGTACATACATACTACAGTTGTGTTACATTGTATGTACCTACATATGCTGTAGTTTGTAGATGTCGAAGCGAACGAAGAAACTAGCTGAATTACCTTATAGAGACAAGCATCATATTGAAGCATACACCATTCACCTTATTACTCAATGTAGATGCTTTCTTTCTTTATTTCAACGACATTATCTTCAGCGTCCAATGAAAGTTCGTTGTATTCGATTTCTATCTTGGACTGCTCATCTTCAGTGAAATTGGTTTTGCAATGGCCTTCTTCTGATGCGATTGAACCACCACCATATTCATCAACCTCAGATTCGGATGGTCTGCTACTATTGGTGTGTCCAATCAGATAGCATTTTGTCGAGAACATTTTTTCATCACGAGTATGACTTTCGAATGCTATTTTGCCAATATCTTCCTCGAAGTTTTCATCCATTTCACACTTCAAGGTTTTTATACTATGGTGCACCATATGGTGTTCATTCATAATTTCTTTTTCTCTGAACTTCTCATGGCAAATGTCGCAATCGAAGGTTTTTTCGCCAGTGTGAAGATTGAGGTGTCTCTTCAAAGTTACCCTATGCCTGAACTTCATATGGCAAATGTCGCACTCAAAGGGTTTTTCGCCAGTGTGCAGATTGAAGTGTCTCTTCAACGTTTCCCTATGCCTGAAATTTTCATGGCAAATGAAGCACTCGAAGGATTTTTCTCCAGTGTGCACTTTGAGGTGTTTATTCAAAACTCCTCTTTGCCTAAACCTCTCATGGCAAATGTCGCACTCGAAAGGTTTTTCGCCAGTGTGCACCATAAGGTGTTCTTTCAAAACCATTTTTTGACCAAATTTCGTGTGGCAAATATTACACTCAAAGGGTTTTTGCTCATTATGTACATTGAGGTGCCCTTTCAAACTTTCTTTTCGCCTAAACTCCATATTACAAATGTCGCACTCGTAAAGTTTTTCTGCAGTGTGCAGGTTGAGGTGTCTCTTCAAAGTTTTCCTATACTTGAACCTTTTGAGGCAAATGTCACACTCGAAGGGTGTTTCGCCAGTGTGCACTTGGAGGTGTTTATTCAAAACTCCTCTTTGCCTAAACGTCTTATTGCAAATGTCACAATTGAAAGGTTTTTCGCCTGTGTGCACCATAAGGTGTTCTTTCAAAACAATTTTTTTACCAAATCTTGTGTGGCAAATACCACACTCAAAGGGTTTTTCCCCATTATGTACCTTGAGGTGTTCATTCAAACTTCTTTTCAGTACGAACGTCTTAGGACAAATGTCGCACTCGAAGGGTGTCTCACTAGTGTGCACATTGAGGTGTTCTGACAAAGTTTTTCTTTCTCTAAACGTTTTATGACAAGAGTCGCACTCAAACGGTATCTCGCCACTGTGCACCTCACGGTGTTTATTCAAAGTTCCTCTCCGTCCGAACTTTTTATCACAAACGTCACATTCGAAAGGTTTTTCGCTAGTGTGCATCTTGAAATGTGTATTGAAAGCACCTTTGTACCTGAACTCTTTATGGCAAATATCGCACTCAAAGGGTTTCTCACCAGAGTGCAGATTGATGTGTATTTTCAAACTACCTTTTCGCCCAAACTTTTTATGGCAAATGTCGCATTCGAAGGGTTTCTCGCCAGTGTGCACATTAAGGTGTGTATTTAAACCTCCCTTTCGACTAAACTTCTTTTGGCAAACGTCACACTCGAAGCTCTTTTCGCGAGTGTGTAGTCTAACGTGAATTTTCAAATCCTTCTCTGTCCGATGTTCCTGATGGCAAATATGACATTCAAATGTTCTTTCGTCAGTGTGCAAGTTTTTGCTTGAATTCTGCATTGCAAATGTCCTACTCGTAATGTATCTGTAGGTAGTTATTTTAAAGTTTCGATCTACTGTTGTGGAAACCAACTTCCAAAAAATCAGCAATGGCTCTTCTATCTGCAAAGATCAAAAATGCAGTTATGTTAGTAGTATCAATGCTTGTACGATTAGCATACTAGGCGAAAACATTACTTTCTAGAAAAAATGCCATGGTGTTTGTCACGAGTAAAACATACGGTATATCAGTAATTTCTAACCATGAGGGTTCTATAAACATAAAGTAAATCAAATCATTCGTTGACATTGAATTAAAAAAACTGACCAAGGAACTCTCATGAGAAACGTGCATTTCTAATAAAATGATGTATATAAATATTGGATCTGAGGGTTCCGAAGTTAGTCTGGTCTGGGGCTAATCTTGACTTGACAAGAGCTCGTCGTAATGGTCGTTATAATGTAAGTTGTTATAAGGTCTTTATATTCATTGTTGTTGATTCATATTTGTCATCGCTACCATAATGTTTCATGCTATAATACATATTGTTATCTTTGAATATAGTCTCGTACTTTCAGTTACCCCTAAACTATTAGTGCCTATTTGAATATTACCTCTCGCAAAATATTAAGCCAAGCATTACCCCTTATAAATCGATATGGATGGGCTAACCACTCTACTATATCGTGACATGGTGGAAACACAACTCTTTTGTTGTGACATGGTGGAGGCGCCTAAGCTTCTTTCCTTGAGTCTCATTCCTCATAATGGACTCATCAATTTTTTTTGCATTCATCGATTTATGTCAATTTCATATTTCATACAAAGGCACTAGTAGAAAGGGTTATTTGAAAGTAATTAAGTATAGCAGCATGAATTATGGGTGATAACAAAGTAAGAAATTCAATTAAATTAGACATCCTTTATTTTTTCAATATTTTAAATATCATTAAGCTTGAAAAGTTTAATAACAATCATTCCATTTCTATTCAAAGACATGATATAAAGCACCGGACCAGACTCACAAAGTTTGGAGCTTATCTCTGAACTTTGTTATTTTTTGTTCTCTACTTTCTATTTGAATTTGGGAACAAGTTTTTCCTATATCTCATTCTTGCCAGTTTTTTATTTCTCATATCAAGATAATTTCAAATATTTTTATTTATAGTTGATAAAATCATTCAAGAAATGCAATGCCAATGCCATGAACACTCAATTGAGAATATAATAAGTAATTCACAACGTGCCTATAATTTTATAACAATACGAAATGAAAACAATAATAACAAATTCTCGACATGCTCGATATTAATCATAATAAATTTCGATACTGGTGCGAAGGCAAATAATTTATAATTCAAGTAATAGTTGAAAATGTTTCGATTCAAAATATCTTAGTCAGTATGTATATGACCTTTCAAATATTGAAAATACTCTTAAACGTTGGGATCGTTTACCAATTTTTGTCATTCCTCCTGAAATGAATTATACGCAAATATGATATTATTATGTTATGGAAATATGATATGAAATGAATTAATTGAGCTCAAGAATATTGATGTGTATGTAAACTCTTAATGAAGAGATTGTTACTTGGTTACAAGTGTTAACCGTTTCCGTACAGAATAATTATCACCCTATTCAGTATATCTCGTGGTCCTAGCCAAACCACATCCAGAGAAGTAGCTGTTTGGTTGATATTCTGAAAAGTACGAAGTGTTATAGTTGAAAGTGTGCACTATAACAGTGAATAGGAGGGAATCCTGGAAGATGTGCCACACTAAGGCATGAAGGATTAACCTTACTAGATATTTTGTCCTCGATTTGATAGGACAATAAATGATGATTTAATGTGGAATAATGAGCTCGTATATGATGATTATGTGTATTTATGAATTATGAAGATGATTATGATGATATTTACCCCCGGGGATGATTTTCCGAAAATGAAAAATATTTGCGAGTTGTTAGACAGAGAAATGTACGGTCTAGTTCTAACAAAAATAGGAGGAATGAGCATGCGGTATTTAACAGGAGTATTTTCAATCAGTTCAATAATGTATAATTGATGAAATATTACAACATATTTTTCAATTTTCTTATAATAAACTATCTTACTACTTGAATTCATCGAAACATGGTGAATAGGGGAATTGATATATTTTTTTAATTGAATAAACGCCAATTCATTGTGTAACCGGTTACACCAAAGATAAATAGATAAATCGAATAAAGTTCTGATAATATTTCATATTAAACAAAAAATAATCTCAAGGTACCTTGAGTCAAAATATTGCTCAAAGTACATGAAAGTACCAATTCTCGGACGGTTCATCAGTTTATTCAAGCTGCCAACAATGAGTTGTCAGATGAATATCCTTTTAAATCTTACGGTTTGGACCTGGAATGTCAAAAATGATCAATATGTAAGTATGAAATAACATGGTGACATTTTCGATAATATATTTATCAAATAGGTAATTTTTTTTATGAAATTTTTCAACGAGAAGGCACGTTGGTTTGTTCACATGACTCTAATTATTTTTTAACCATAATTTCAATTTATCTGTTTACGAAAATGATTTTCAATTGGCAATATTGGCATCAATTCACTTTAATCTCGATCTCGAGATATATTACTCATTACAGAAAATGCATTCGAATTCATTGACTCATTGGATGGAATGGGAACCAATCGGGAAATTTTTCATAATTTGGCACAAATATAAATATTTAAGTAGATATGTAGATAACTCATAATTTTTCTTGTGTCGTCATTCATTCAATCAACTATTTCTTTTTTTTAATTAAGAAACTATATTTGCAATACATTTTTTTTTTTCGAAATGGAAGACGACGTTCAAATTTCCCTGAAATGAATGATAACTTTTGCTTATTAGTGAAAACAAACTCTTTATTATGATGATAATATAATCATGAACTTGACACTTCGTTCACGTTACTTTGTTCTAGTTAGTATAATATTGTTTATTTTAATCATAGGTTTAATGATGAATCATGCTTTGGGAAACTCGAGAAAGCGTGTTGATATGTTTTTAATACAAAATGGGATAATGATTATTTTGAGAAATTGAATGAAAATGAGTTTTCCCAATAACATTTATAATTGATAAGTAATAATTAACTCTAGATCTAAAGTCTAAAAATTTGGAATCATCAGGACATAATGGTATACTAAAACAAATAATATAGGAATTTAATGAATTGAATGAGGTATTTAGCATATCGAGGCACATAGGTTAATCATTTATTGCTCATCTTCAATTTTGTACATTCAACTTTTTCGATCTATTATGTGATAGTAATATATAGGGTTATACAGAATTCCCCATTTTAATATAAATAGTAAAGTAGGTATTTGACAATCAATTGTTTTTTTGCATGGTTTCACGGCTTCACACAAAACAATGCACGCACACTGAGCACTGGCATACAACATTTATCAAGAAGTCAGACACCCAGGGAGATGCAGCAAGATGACCAAACGAGGACTGTATACAGAATGATTCGATGGTAGCTGCTGGGTAGCCCAGGAACGAAGAGGAAAAACGTAGGAATGCCAGGAGTTGCCACGAGTTGTGGATAGCCTGACGAACCACTGGAATGACGGAAATTCATCGTTCCTTTCATGGACCAAGTCATCTACCAGGTATCACAGCAACTACCAAGATAGCTGGCAATTCTTCTCACTCAGCTGCCAACTACCCTCAAGAGACAGGCCAATACTAGAAGCCAGGATATCTTGAAGCCCAAAGGATTCCTACTTCAGAGTATCAGCCCAGAACGAGAGAAGCCCAATAATCTTTGGAGTTCAAAAAGATTCCAGCACCCTTATGCCCAGGACGAGGATACCTTTCGAGCCCAAAAAGGATCCCGCCAAAATTCCCACGACGATTGAAGGATGCCCATCAGTCGTCATTCGCTACCCCAAGAACCCAGCAGTTCCCTTCGTTCAGCTGCCAACTACCTCGAATGACAGTCTTAGAAATCTTAAAGCCCAAAAGATTTCATCCTGATGCCCAGGACAAGGATACCTTCGAGCCCAAAAGGATCCTGCCGAAATTCCCATGACGATTGGAGGATGCCATGCCCAATCGTCATTCCCTACCCCCAAGCTGCCAGGAGTCTCACCGAGAAGAGTCTGATTGAAATGCTTTTGTTGAATAGCCAGTGCCGGACTTAGTAAAGGTGTGAGTGTGCATTGTAGACACTAAACTATGAATGTTTGTGAATATTTTTTTTTCTGAAACTTTTTGTACAATATGCAAATCAATTTTGAATGTTCTCCTCCATATATTTAGGTAGGTAGTAATTTGAAAACTGGGGTCCAGTTTTCTCGGAGAGAGGGGTCATGTCACGAGTAAAACATACGGTATATCAGTAATTTCTAACCATGAGGGTTTTATAAACATAAAGTAAATCAAATCATTCGTTGACATTGAATTAAAAAAACTGACCAAGGAACTCTCATGAGAAACGTGCATTTCTAATAAAATGATGTATATAAATATTGGATCTGAGGGTTCCGAAGTTAGTCTGGTCTGGGGCTACTCTTGACTTGACAAGAGCTCGTCGTAATGGTCGTTATAATGTAAGTTGTTATAAGGTCTTTATATTCATTGTTGTTGATTCATATTTGTCATCGCTACCATAATGTTTCATGCTATAATACATATTGTTATCTTTGAATATAGTCTCGTACTTTCAGTTACCCCTAAACTATTAGTGCCTATTTGAATATTACCTCTCGCAAAATATTAAGCCAAGCATTACCCCTTTATAAATCGATATGGATGGGCTAACCACTCTACTATATCGTGACATGGTGGAAACACAACTCTTTTGTTGTGACATGGTGGAGGCAACCCTTTTATCGTTCATCACGATAAAAAAAGGGACAGTGAATTATTTTCATATTTTTATTCTTTATAGATTTCCCAAAGAAATGCTAGTAGCATCTGGGAAGTATACTTGCCATAAATTTTGGAATGTTGGGGGCAGTGCATCGTCTAGTTATCCCTTCTTCTGTTGGGCTTACAGATACCAATCTGGTCTCAAAATAAATCTTATTGAATTCTCTACAACTTCATTACATATGGTA